CTTCAAGGAGAAAGCCTACATCCCCTCCAGAGGCATGTGAGAGCCAGACCAAGCAGAAGAGAGAGCCCACGGCCCCTCCAGACACAGAACTAGCTGCTGCTGAACCCTCTGCAGACACCAGTGAAAACCCCCCATATGTGTTGAGCATCAGAACACGAAAAAGAAACCAGGACAGAAATATTTCAGTCCCAGCCTGTAAGGCCCCTATTGTTAACACTCTTTAAATGTCATAATTTATTCACACCAGCTGTTCCCAGCTGCTGTTGTCACTTCCTAGGCTTCTCCAGAAGTGCTAAGGAGGCATATGCCATTCCAGTTCTGTCTCATTGTCCAACCTGAGAAGGCAGTCTCCCAGTTAGAGAGGAACTGATGGCCTCACAGCTGGTTCAAGCCAAACATCACAGGCTGCTACTCAGATGATAGCCACCTGGACCTAACAGTTGGGGAAAATGAATGTCAATATTGTCAAAGGGTATAAGAGCTAATGGCTCCTCCATGCCAGACCCTGGGACAGGCCTCTGCCTATGAGAGATGTTGTTATCCCATTTCACAGAGGAGGAAGCTGGCTCTGACCAACTTGTCCAAATGCACAATGTTAACAGGTTAGGTTCTTACCCATGACCGTCAGATGGCAAGCTCATGCTTCTCCCAACATGTGACTCTTTCCCATCCAGAGAAGGATGTAGGAGAATTAAAAGATGTGATTCCAAACCAGGGATAGATCAGAGTGGATATGTCAGACACAAAGTATCGTCCTACAGGGCAGTGCTCTGTCCCTTTTCCAGCTCTGTTAAGATACATCTGGAACACATATTGGAGCCTTATCTGGAACACCAATGACTTACTAGCACAGCATCTACTTTTTCTCTTCGAATGGTAAGAATCTGACTTGAATGTTCTAAACTAAAACAGAGACACACTTAGGAAATGAGTAAGGATAAAGAACATCAGATAAGATAACACAAACAGGAGATTATCTCTTCAGTAGAAATACAAGAAGAAAGAATCTGTGGTCAGGCCCCTCCCGCAGGTAGTCATTGAGGGAGAGCATTTGAGTTGCAGGTCCAGGCTCTGTGGAGAGAATTACCCAGAGCAGTACTTGGGCATAAAGGATGTCAATAAAGGCTCATTGAATGGTAAATATATAAGAAATCCCATTATGTCTTATGACTCTCCACTCAAGACACACACTATTAAGAACTCCTTCACAATGTTTCCTGTTTTTCTTTCATAACCATTTTACAAGTCACCACAGGCTTTAGTACCACGTCGTTGGACTAGTGGTGGTTTCCTCCTTAAGCCTACTGAATCTGGTCTCTCTCAGTGCTAATCCTTCTGCTACTGACACTAGATGAATGGTCTTATATACCCCTTTTATCCTACACTTTTTTGGTGTGAAATATTTTTACTTTAAAATTTAATTTCTATTTTTCTCAAAGTAATGAATGTTGGGTTTTAAACTTGAATATTTTTAAGAGACTTATAATGAAAAAATAGCAGCCTGCTGCCTCACCACTCCCCACCCTTGAATCTCACTCCCCAGAGGCAACCACCTATAACTCTTTTACCTGTTTCTTGTATTATTCATTTCCAATTTTCTAAATATTATACTTATATGACTGCTATTTCTTTATCTTTCAATATTATATATTGCTTAAAGACGTCTCTACTGTGGAACCTAAGATTTTAGTCTTTGACCTTCCCTTCCCATCCCCATACTCTTGAGGCAATTATAGCACCCATAAGGGGCTATCTCAAAATCCAGTGTTAACAATGTAAATCTGGTTGACAGCTGAGCTGCACAGAGGACTCACTATGCTTATACTCCTTTAGTGGTAACACTTTTGTGTTTTGTGAAATTAATTGCTTAGATCAGGGTGTGTGTATACATACAAATACATACAAACATTTATATATTCATATATTTTTACACACATATATATATAGTTTTGACAAAACCATTAAACTCTTCTGAATACAATAATACATACCAGGGAATATATTAGTTTCAGTTTTTTTTTAAATATATCATTTTCAGAGTCCTCTGTCATCCTACACAAATCTGAACTTGCTGCTCTCTAGGCCTTCTGATAGCTGTCATTCTACACTTCTTCACCATCATCCTGGGAATCTCCTTTGCTTCTCTCCTCTATTGAATCCCTTGTTCCCATGAGTTTCATGTCCTTCTCTTCCTTTAATTAATTACTTAGTTTTAGTCACTCACATTCTCTAGTAACTTCTTCAGAAAGAGTGTCTCAAAATATTGCCATCCCATTCTCACAGATAATCACTATTTTGGCTGGGTATAAAATTCTATCTTGGAAATTGTTTTCCTTCAGAAAGTTTTAGGCACTTCGCTATTGGTTTCTAAACTTCAATGTCATTGAGAAGCCCAAAGCCATCCTAATTCCTGAATCTTTGTAGGTAAAATCCATCTCCTTCCCAATCACCTTTTAGAATATCATCTTTACTCCGATGCTCTGAAATTTCATGATGATTTATCTTGTTGTGGTCTCTTTTCAATAGTTGTGCTGAGTGCTCAGTGGGCATTTGCATTATTAATTAATTAAATTTGTTTGTTCCCTTTTATCTCCATACCCACCTCCCATCTCCCTGCCATACATACTACCATTACAACATATTCAATGTATACTTTTTATTTGAATGCATTTTTACAAACTATTATGTGTGCCTGTATCTTTCATTTATGTAGATGGTGTTATATCACTTTCTTGTTTTCACTAAACTCTGTGTTTTTAAGATACTCTATGTTGTCACGTGTACATGATATTTGTTGCTCCTAACCGCTGCATAGTTTGTCATGGTATGCATCCAACAGTTTATCTATCTACTCTCCCAGTTATGGATACCGAGGTTTCCTCCAACTCCCCACCACCAAAAAACAACGTTGGAAGGAATATCCTTGCACATGTCTCAACAGACCTTTAAATCTGGTAATGTGAGTTTATTGGTTCTGGAAACATTTTTGGCATTTTTCTTTGTTAATTTCTTCCTCTCCACTTCCATGTTGTCTTTACAGAACTCTTACTAGTTGCATGTTGGATCAATCCTCTGATTTTCTTATTTTTGCTCTATTTTCTAGGTGATTTCATCAACTTTGCATTCCAACCATTTACTATCTTTTTATTATATTTTTACATCAATGTAAATTCTACATTATTTTACATTAATCCCCAAGAGCTCTTAAATGCTAAATGTTCTCTTTTTTTTATAGCAATGATTTTTGTGAATAAAATTATTTCTCTTCTATCTCTGCTGATACCAATTATATCTTTTAAAAGTTATCTTCTGCTCCATGCATTGTTCATATTTCCTCAAGTTCCTTTTTTCATTTTATTTTTGTCCTCTGTATTGGACTTTTTCTTCAAACACTAATGATCCCTAGCTGTGTGTTCATATTTAAGAGCAAGGCACAAAAGGCTTATTGAAAACTCTGTGTGCATGGCTGGGGCTTGTAGAATGGTGAGTGTAGTGCACTGTATGGTGCCCCTCCAAAAAGATATGTCCACATCCTAATCCCTGGAACCTGTCAATGTTACCTTATTTGGAAAAAGTGTCTTTGCAGATGTAATTAAGGTAAGGATCTTGAATGACAAGAGCATCCTAGATTATCCAGGTGACCTAAATCCAATGACAAGTGTCCTCATAAGGGAGAGGCAGAGGGAGATTCTAGACAGAAGAGAAGGAGGCAATGTGAACACAAAGGCAGATGTGGAGTGATGGAGCCACAAGCCAAGGAATCCCTGGAGCCACCAGAGGCTGGAAGAGGAAGGAAATAAATTCTCCCCTGAAGCCCTCAAAGGGAATATGGCCATGCCAGATTTTGGACCTCTAGCCTCCAGAACTGTGAGAGAATTAATTTCTCTCACAGTTTTAAGACACCTACTTTGTGGTAAATTGTTGCAGCAGCCATAGAAAACTAAGATCATGAACCTCACTGAAGGTGATGGGTGGGAGTCGTTTCTCTGGTTATCTTCAAATATCACATATGTAGGCCTTTTCTCTTAAGTCTAATAGTTCCCCCGCAGAGGAATCCTATGAACCCCTGCCAGGTTGCTACATTTCTGAGAGGGATGCAGTAGAAATGGGCTGGGAGTATGACATTCAGTTCGTGGACTTTCACTTAACCTTCCCGTTTTCACTACGGCAAATCGACCCCACCCTCAGAGGCACCTGATGTTACCGTTTCAGGCTTCTCTGATTCAGCCTCTACACAGAGTAAGTCTAACTTTGGCTGGGATGTGGGTTGGGTGGGGCAGACACCTGTCAGCACCGTCTAGGGGTAGAGATCTAAGCTACTGGGGAGAGCCCATCTAAGTGTTCCTTACAAGGACTTTTGACCAATCCTATTCTTCTAGCACCACCCATATTCCAGCTCTCAGACATACCAGGTGACTAATTCCTGAGCCTTCTTGGGCTCCCATTTTGCTTTTGTATTGGTATTCCTCACTGTAGACAATTAAACCTCAGCTTTCCTACCACTAGGTCAGTCACCATTTACTCTCTGTCTTCAAAAATTTTGTTGACATCTCTCATCTATTGTCGTTTCTGCTCTTGTTCTCTTTGTCACTGTGCCCTTCTTAAAATTTATTTCCTGTGTTAGTGGAGCTATAAGAGCTAACCAACTTGCTTCAATTGGCCATGTTTAAACAGAAGCACCACCTTATAAATTTCTATTTGAAGAACTTATGCCACTCAGACAAGAAATTAAGTTCTGTTTTGCTTAGAAAAATAAGCAAATAAATCTACCTCTAAAGTCTACCCTTGTTTTAGCTCTCCTATCTTATAGCTTTCATTTCCCAAAGTGAATTTTCCACTCTGGTTAAATTAGGTTGCATTACCATCTCTTCACTCCCCATGACAAGTCCCATTTCTTCATCTTTGCTTATGGTGTGGTGCTCCCCTTTCTGGAATATTCATGCCCATATATTCTATTTTATCCTATTACATATTTTATATCCCAAGCAAAATCCCAATCCTTCACGAAACCATTCCTGATAACTTCAGACTATATAGATTTGTCCCTTCCTCAAAATGAATGATCTGTATTTTATATTAGTCAGTATAAGAACTCACATTCCCTAGCTGTTTCAAGTGTTTGCTGCCCTCTAGGCAAAACGTTAAGTCTCTTAAGGGCAGGAACTGTGCCTTACACTGCGTGTGCTCCTTGCAATGCTTACCAGGGCATTGGACATTGAGTACTTGCTGACTGATGTACGCCAATTCAAGCTACAAATATGAGATTTGATGTCCAATACATGATAGAGGAAGAATCTTTTGAGGGCAAAGCCTGTATCTTATTCAACTTTATGTCTCTAACAACCAGCGCAGTGTTTGACACAGAAGGTTTCTGACTACCGAGTGACTGAACAAAAGGATGAATGGATAAATGAACCTCACGGGATACCATGTTCAATGTTGTACCTGATCTAAAGATCTTTTAATTCCAAACAACAATAAAGATGATTAGAACGACGGTTCACTGTACATTCCCAGCATCCAGAACAGCATTTGGCACACAGGGGCCGCTCAGTAAATATCTTCTAAATGAAGGTTAAATGAATGAATCTGCCAGGAGTCAAGAGCCTTAGCTCATAATTAGAAAGAAGAGGAGAGAGAAACATTTGGCTTACCCGGAAAGCACTCCCAGGACGAGGTTGAGAACAAAGAAGGATCCAATGATGATGAGGGGGATGAAGTACAGCCAATTCCAGGTGGCTCCTAAGGCATCATTGGTCTGAAAGAAAGAAAAACGGTTCCTTAATACTTCATCAAAACCATCTGCCAGAAGAAGGCCTCCATTCCTGCAGCTTCACACACAGGGTGATGTAACAAGCACAGCACAATACAGTTAAACATCGCCTCGCTCCACTCCAGATTTGGTGTCATTGTGGATTAACTCATGTTCTTCCATGTACATTGAGAAGGACACTGCACTGGCCTCACATAACATCCCGAACTGGAATAGTCTAACACCCTCACTTAACAGATGAGATAACTGAACCAAGAAAGGTCAAATACTTTTCCAAGATCATGCAAACAATCACTGGTTTTACAGTGTTTGGTGATGTGGGTTCTAAGCCATTGCACTCTAAATTGGACAAAATCTCAAAAATACAGATGCAGCCTATGTCCATCACTCTATTCCATGGATGCTGGCTAAGGCCTTGACAGGGTTGCTTGGGAGAAATTAGTGTCATCCACATCCTGCTCAGCCCTTGACCCTGGGCTCTGGCTTTCTTTCTCCCATCATAGCCCAATAGTACAGAGCTAGACCAGGCCTGGCCCCAGCAAGGTTCTAGACAGAAGCGGGAATACATCTAGATTTGAAGAGTGACCCCTTGCTCTCTCTCTAATGCTAACACATAGTAAACTGAAAAATGCATGGAAATCCATACTCTGGATTCTTGTACTACAAGTGAGAGGCAAGGCCCTTGAATGGCAGGGGGTTGAGGAAGGATTATACCACAAGACTTAGCCAAAGAAGCAACTCTTGGCAGAATGTCTTATTTGGACCTTGAAACAGTTTTGGAGCATTTTGAAAAGTCCTCTTCAACATCTGAGCCTTTCAACTAAGCTTTGCCTTGACTCTCCGTCCCCATGATATCAACCCCAAGTCTTTCTAAATAGTCTCCTTGAATTGCATTATACATATGCAGGGCTTTAAAATCCCCCCAACCCCATCTCACTCCTGCACACGCAAACTTTAATACCTGTTTGAAACTCAACAGATTCTGGAAAGAAATTTTATTCCCAATGCACTGGAGAAACAAGGCCATCAAAGTCAAATGCCATGCCTAAAATTCACATGCTAAATTAGTAAAATTAAGATCTGAACTCAGAATTTCTATGGCAAAGTGTTTCTTGTCCCTGTCATTTACCTTTTTCTCCCTCTCACTACTAAACTTTGCAAACATATTTTGATTCATTGTCCTCATGCTTCCCATGGACTTCTATGACATTCTATCTTGTTTTTCTCCCAAATTATCTCATTTTCTCTCTGCCTCGCATTTAAATATGTCAGTCCATAGAATATAGCCTCCCTCTGATCAAGGCAGCTATCACTGTACAGTAGTTTTTCCATTAAAAATAGCTTCTAAGGCAACCTCTTTCACCAAACTTGAATCTTTCGTCTTGTCCCTATACCGTTCAGAAAGAGATGATTGTAAATGAAACAGAATAAAAGTTAAAAACAAACACCTTCTGAACTGGATGGGACAAAGGCAGGGAGCTGCCGATTTCAGCATGTAAGATCTAGCTCTTTAGTTCAACCAGGTCTAGTGAGTTAAATGCAAGCAGGGAAGATGTGGGCCAGACCTCAGAGAAGACTGCTTCTGATTATCAGAAGGAAGTTGCAGAAGAACTAGATGCCAAGGGCCACAGGGGTTCTAACGGACATAGGAAGCTGGGTTTTTGGTGTTTTGTTTTTGATATAGTTGAGATATGGTCTTTCCTGTGAGCTGAAAATTGGATTGAATGATCCTTGTATAACTAGCTCTGTCTTTATTCATGATTACAAATGCCATATCCTGTAAAGACTGATTATCTCAGATGGTTCACCAGTGGTGCTCCAAATCAACAAGTTTTATTCTCTCTACGGCTTAGCCAGTCCTCCCCCGCCCCCACTCCTTAGCATTCTTTGGCAGCAAGGACTGAGTCTGCCCCTCGGTTGCCAATAAACATTATTTGGTGTCAGCAATGGCAATGATGAAATTGTGGCTTTTACGGTGTCTTTGGTCCCAGGAGTGACTGAGTTACAGTTTGACGATGGCTAGAACAATTTCATTTGGGTGACTATTTGCCAGAGATGCTATAGACTGAAGAGCATTTCCCAAATTGTATTCTTCTCATTGTTAGAGGTCTGTAAGAAATTAAAGTGTTCTGCGGAAAATGAACCTCTGTAACCAAAGAAACTTGGGAAACACAGCAGATTGCATTTTCCCCTTAGCTTGTGAGAAGACCCACAAAAAAGAAGCATTATTAACTTTTGCTCCATCACTTCACACAATTCCTTGATTATGAAACCCCTTTTTAAAGGAAAGCTATTACCTAATCTAAATCTGTTATCAGGATATGCAGCCTGTGAAATGCAGGGACAAAAGGACTCCCTTCACTGGCCAGAGTCTGGAATGTGCTTCCCAATTCTTCTATTAAATATCGATGATGAACAGTGTCTTCTTATTCGGTGTTTAGTGAGAATGTTTTGGTTTTGCCTTGACTAAGACAAGAACCTTAACCATCTGCTCATTTCTGTATCTGGCACCTTACAAAGTGTTTAGCACATATAGCTGCTCGACTAATCAATAAATGACCACAATTTGAATAAGATGATTCTCATGTTTAAAATATACCAAAAAAAAAAAAAATCATTCTGATACTCCTTCTCACTCTCTGGAGTTCTATCTGAATTGCTAAAAAAAAGAAAACGTCCTCCACTACAGCACTGGGGCCTGTTGGATCAGAAAAAGAGGAGGAAGGGGAGGAGAAGGAGCAAAAGAACCTCTGGGAGGACACCAGCAGCGCACCATGCCCGAGGGGTTATTAAAGATGACTGACAGCTTAAAAGGTTCTTCTGGAGACAGTGGTTTGACAGCTCCCGAGATTATTCACCAACCTTTAAATAGACTTGCCGCACCCTCTCCACACCTTTCTCCTCTCCCTGGGGTTTCCTCGCAGTTCTTCCCCTTCCCCCATCCTTCCTCGCCAGGTGGCCTCACCCTCACCTCATGTGCCTGTCAATGGATCAATGACGTGTCCAGTAGGACAAGGCGACATACCTCAGCAGGAAGTGGGCAAGCCAAGGACTTCACACTTCCCTCCTCCAAAATGGCAGGGTTCTTTCTGATGCTAATTAGAGCTTCAATCTCCTTCTGATTCATCATTATTAAAATCTTAAAATTGTCCAGTGTAGGAGAGACAACTACTGAAGTGTCTTCTGAGATTAAAAAAGAAGACAGTAATCGACAACTCTCAAGGCAAGTGCCCATCCACCACAGGAGGTGGGAGTCAGGAACACCAAGCAGAAAGCTGCCAGTTCAACCCCGGAGTTGTGACTATGTTCTCTCCTGGGGTGCGTATGTGTGTCTGTGTCACAGCAGGAGGTGGAAGAGAGGAGGGCTGCCTCTGAGAGAGGGAGAATTTCTCCACTGTGCCCCTCTGCTTCTGTGATTCTCACAAGCTGGTTACATGTAGAATTACCATGTTTTACTTTCCCTAGTGATTCTTCCTTCAAAGACAGGGGACAGCCATGCTAAGTATTTTGAGCAAGAACCTGGGGAAGGAGACCCCCAGCTTTCCGAACATGTTCTGCTGGATTCTGGCCCCAGGAGAGTCTCACAGTGGAACCTTCACTGCCCAGACCGCTACTGTGGAGCAGCTAAGTGTAAACCAGGCCCCTCCCTGCAAAGAAGCCCACACAAAGAGAGCTAGCCTCTTCATTCCGTCCCATTCATGGAACACCTCCTCTGTGTCAGGCATTACAGAAGAGCGCTTTTCTTTGGGGCAACGTCCTCTTATTTAAGATGCTGATTCTCCTCCCACCTGACCCAGCCAAGCCCCTAGACTGGCAGGCTGGCTGCTCTCCATCTTTCTCACCTGCTCATTCCCTGAGTGACACACACATGCACATGTGCGCATGATGCGGGTGATGACAGACAGAGAAAGCAGTCGGAGGTGGCAGCCCACCTGCACAGGGAGTGCTCAGCGGGCACCAGTCCTGACATGGTGGGAATGTGTTCCTTTGGGAACCTGCCTCATTGGAGGTGGTAAGCGCCCCCACTCCCTGCGTAAACAGGCACATGTGGCAATTATCACATTAATGTCGGGGTATTGAGGGAGCTGCTGGAAGGTGGGGGTGGGAGGAGCAGGATTGGAGAGAAAGATGGGGATGGAGACAGCAAGAGGAAAGGGGTCCCATGGTTCTCCTGGCCTGAGGCTGTATAGGCAGGGCTAGGCACCCACCCTTGGAAGCAGGTCCCTATCAGGGTTCCACAGGGCTCTGTGGAAAATATGCTGAAGGGTCTCTTGTATGCACATGCCTTCCACAGAGCAGCTCTCACAGGGAGGCTGAATTACAGATGACTGTGTGGGGAGCCTGAGCGAGTTGGGACTGGGAAGAAGGAGGATACTGATGCCAGAGTCTTTTCAGAAAAGAAGGGGCCCTGGGGCACAGCTGCTTCTCAGGCTGGAGGCAGCGCCTGCTGGCAAGCCCTGAGCTGGCCTACAGCAGAGTTTCTGAGCCAGGGTACTAGTGGCATCTTGGGCTGGATAATTCTTTGTTGTGGGGGGCTGTTCTGTGCGATGCATTAGCAAGACCCCTGGCTTCTACACACTAGATGCCAGGAGCACTCCCCCAGTTGTAACAACCAAAGTGTCTCCAGAATTGCCAAATGGACAAAAATGGCTTCAAGTTGAGAACCCCTGGCCTAGAGGAGGCTCTGTCCCAAGGAGGATCTCATTCCCAACTGAGCTCAGGTCAAGGGATGGTTCAAGCAGCCACTCTAGGCTGCCAAAAAGGCCAGGCCATTCATCTTAGCAAAAGCATCTGTCCACGGCCTCTGCTGACCACTCCAGGGAGAGAAAATTCAGAGACAACGAGAGTGCGGAAGGAAAAGCACAGAGGCCAACGACCGATCCGACTGCTGACCACCTTCCCTAAGGGCAATACGTGGGCATCTGGCATCTACCCAGCTGACTTGCCTCCCCTTAGCCCCCACTTCATTCCAGCACCCAATGTGA